GTAATTAGTTTACTGCTCTGCAATATGCCACCAACTCACATACTGGAGGAGTTTGCACAGAGAGCTGTAGACACAATTACAAAACTTCAAATTCAAGAATCAAGGGTCCCCAGCCTTGGATCTGGCCCAGCAACGTAGTGGTTAAGTTCACGTGCTCTGGCTCAGCAGCCCAGGGTTCATGAGTTCAGATCCTGCTGTAGCATCCCACATGCAAAATGGAGGAAGATTGGCATGGACGTTATCTCAGGGACAACGATCCTTGGGTGAAAAGAGGGAGATTGACATCAGATCTTAGCTCAGGGCCAATATTCCTCACAAAACAGTAGAAGATAGAATCAAGGGTTTCCAGCCTCATTGGGCTTGGGATGCAGTTACTCAGATTTAAGTAAGGTCATAAGTACTTAAATTTGAAAAATAAGATACTGAGAAGGAGTGTTCTGCTTTTTATGAATATTTTATATCAAAATATCATTTGTATGCATAATTATGATTTTAAAAAATTGGTAATTATTGATATATTAAACTGTTATGTTTCAGTAACTATCTGGAGAAATGTGAATCCCTTTAAATATCTATTTAAAAGACACTTGAGATATGTGAATTCTTCGGGGCCTGCAATGTGTTCTATTTTCATTTGATCACATAGGTAAACCTATATTTATCCAAGACACAGTGTGTGTTGACTACAGTAGGCTACGTTCTACAAAAGTACATTGAAACAGGTTGACAAATAAAAATGGCAAGCAATAGGATATATTGGAATATACGAGGAAGCCATTTGGTATAAACCTAATTTGGCCTGACTTTGTTTTTTCCAAAAGGGCCTGACTGTGGCTGTTGAGCATGCATTGTGTATCTGCTTAGACACTTCCTATGGCCAGAACAAAGGCCCTTGAGATAAAGGTGTGACTTCCCCCCAACATTGGCATTTCCTTAGGGATAAGCATCTTTCCTTAGGCTAGGAACTGATTGCTGCACTCACCTTTGACCACCCAGCTCACCTGTGACCACTCAGCTGGAGAAAATAGAGTGCCACCCTGCTGTGTTCACTGAGACAGAAGACCTACCTGCTGTTTCCATCAATAGCTGTGCCAACAGAGCAGTCTCCTGACTATTGTAAAAGTGACATTTCAATCCTATGTGAAACCTCCTCTCTGGGGGTATATAACCACTCTGTGCACCCCACTTCTTTGGTACCTTTTCTTCCTTCGGGAAGAAAGGCCCTGGGTTATAATCCTCAGATTTAAGCTCAGAATAAACTGACCCAAATTTTCATTTATAGAGTGGTTATGGATTATTTGCGTCGACAAGGTGAAATGGTCTACATGATATTGTGGATTAATCCCTATTCATCTCGGATTAGGGATCCTGGACCATCCCCTTGAATAGTGGACATAGTAGTGGAAATATCCTTCACATCTTAGATCCACTAATTCATAGATGGCTTCACATAGCACACAGCGATTCATCCCCCCAAAATCACCTCCTGAAGCCTGATCCAACAGCAGATGTTAGCTGTCCCCAGAGTCCAGAGAGGGATTTTTGTGTTTGTCTCCCAGTGTACTCAGGATGAATAAAGAACTCTCTGAATTAAGACGATGCTTCCCAGGCATCCCCATGATGTGTTACAAAGGGAAAAGGATGCAATAATTTCCTCCATATAAATTGGGGACTAGAATGTGGCAAGGTGCTGCTGGTGGGAATTGAAAGAGGCATCCCACACTTTGGGAAAGTTTCTCCTTTCTAGTGAGATCTAACATACAAATGCCAGGAGACCCAACCATTCAAATGCTTGCTATGTCACTGGGGAGGGAAGAACTGATGTCACTGCATATAGTTACCAATACTGTCCTCTGCAGTTAAATTTTCCTTATGGGGACAGCTCTTATGTTAGATGTTCTTATCACTAAAAGAGGGACAGAAGACACTTTTGGAGGTGACGACTACATTGAGATTATTTGTTGTAGTGATGATTTCATGGGTGGATACTTATCTCCAAACTCTTCAAGGTGTACGAATCAAAAATGTACAATTTTTGGTACATAAATCATATCTCAATTTAACGAAAAAACCTTACAAATTATATTTACACAGAAACTTGTATGCAGATGCTTACGGAAGTCTTATTTATAATCAATACAAGTTAGAAGCAACCAAGATGTCCTCCAACATAGGAATAAATAAACAGCGGGATGCTCTTTGGTAAGAAAAGGAGAAAAAAGCCATCCATGCAAGAGCATGGATGAATCTCACTTACATTACCCTACATGAAATAATCTACCTCCAAAGTCTACACACTGCATATTTACATCCATATAGTATGGAATCAGCAAAACTAATGGGACGTAAGGTTGATCAGTGGTCGCTGAGGGCTGTGGGATGGAAAAGGGATTGAGTAGAAGTGGGAATAATGCATTTCTTTGGGGTGGGGGAAAGATCCTTTAAATTGACAGTGCTGTTGGTAAGAAGATTGTTTTGTTTAACATATTTACAGTATACTTCCATAAAAGTCTAATTATCTTGCATACATGTGAATATTAATGAAATTATATTCAAAAATATTTGTCTCTAAATTATGTGTTCTGGTCAGTCTTAGCTTTGTGATTTTTCAAAGCCTATGGACAGTGGATTTTTTTCTAAAAATAGATTGTTAATTTAATGCATCAATGAGAATAATTTCTAATGTAGCGCTCTTGGGTTGTGTGGCTGAAATGAATTAGATGTTACAATCTTTAAAAAATGAAACTTAGTTAATTGATGGTTTGTGTTTGGGAAGTTTTATCTGTGTATGTTCTTTAGTCATTACAAATTATACTGAGTATGGTTGATCAATGAATGGGAAACTCTTTGGTAAATCCTAAAATAATGACACGGATTTACCTGAAGGAGGACCACGGCTGATGGACACAAGGATGTTCCTGATGGGCACCTGGTGTGAAATTTATAGGGTTATAAATCTTAGAGTAGCAGAACACTGATAAGGACACATGAGGACAGAGCTCTTGTTCCTGAAAATCACAAAGCCCAGGACATCCCAAAATGTAGGACTCAGAGACCACCTCGAAGAGGAAACAGCAAGAACCCTGGATGGGGGGAGGTGACTGGTCTGCAGGGTGCATTCAGGACACTCTGACCACAGGGCCAAGGTTGAGGGGCAGGTGCAGAGGGAGCGAGGAGAGAGAGGGTCTTCCTGTCAGGGTCTGCAGTCTCCTTTCCTATGAACAAAACAATATCTTGGTCCCATCTCTACCCTCCTGCCTCTGAGGCCCAATTTATAATTTAACCCCAAATAATGAGAAAATAGGACAATTACACCTGTGCCATCAATGATTCAATATGAACGATGCTCACTTTTACAAAGCATATTCCTTGTTTTTATTCTTATGTCTTTTCCATTTAAAATCATGGTTCTTTCTCATGAAACTAGTTGGGGTTCTTGGACACATGTTGTGGGCTGTCTAGGAGAAATGTGTGCATAGAGCCTTAGACAAAGTTACTCAGCTTCCAAATTCTAGAATGAGGTATCTCCCAGCTGCTTATGCAGAAAATATAGCTACTCAGATAAAATTAATGTCACAGTACTCAACATGAGGGCGATACGGTTGTGAGGATTCTCCTTATTTTTTACAATTGTTTATAAGTTTTCCAAAGTTGGCATCAACACATCTATTTATGTATGAAGATATTACTTTGAATAAGGTAGTGATTGTGGATATCTTTCTGCATTTCTATGATTTTGATGATGTGATTAACCATAATGCCAAATCCTGGGATGTCTTTGCAAGGTTCCCTAAATACAATCGCATGTTTATTTGGAGTCTACTCACCTAGCTCAGCATTTATTTTATCAGACTGTGTCTTCTAAGACTATGAAAGTTGTCTGTGAAATGTCTTATTAGACACCTAAGGTTAGATTTCAGTATCATCCAGGGTAGCCCTGTTCATCTTTGACAAGGCAGTTGTGTGAATATCATAATCTCCTTGGCTAGTTACTGAAGGCCTGTGTACTGTGTCAAAATAATTGTTATGTCAATTTTCTATAGAACAATTCCCTCCTGCCCACATTCCTCTCCCTGTGCGAATAGCCTTTGTCTTGGGACAATTCTAAGTTGCAGATTTAGAGAAGTAGATTCTTGCACAAGCAATTTATTAAAACTTGTTCCCAGTAGAAACAGTCAAGGATGTGAGGTCAACAGGTCAGGCAAACTGGAGGAGATGAGCATAGGTATCATGTCTACAAATCCCACAGGGAGGAGCCTCAGCCTGCCCTGCTGAGGGGCCCTGGGGGGTGAACACAGCTCAGAGTTTCCAACCCTGAGACAAGGGAGATGGGCTTGCACATTCCTGCTCATGCAGCTAATGGTAGACAAATGTTGACCATGGGTGGTGCACATCCCATTGAGTGTGTAAAGAAGACATGCTAAATTTCAGGAGAGTGGTGGATCAAGAATACCTGTGGGGCTGAAGTTTGAATCTGAAGTTTTCAACATATGATATCTCCCATCACAAGTGCACAAGATGGATGGGGCACAAGGCCCACCTGGAACTCATGTAACACAACAATAAAAAAAGGTAACAACTTCTCAGCCTGATGAGAACCACATCATTGGAGAGATTACAGGGAAGGAAAGCAGGAGCTGTGCAGGGCTCAGTCTGGAGGAGTCAAGACCTGGACCTCAGTGTATGGTTAAGAGTTAGGCTGGGCCTGAGGTGGGGATGTAAGGGCAGAGGCCTGAAGGAAGGTAGCTCTGGGCGCAGAAAAGTGGGGAATGCTTAAATCTGATTAATCGGTGTCTCAAAGCTCAAGTGCCCTCCCATCCCAGACAAAAAATACCTAAAATCAGGAAAAGAGGTGCACACAGAGTCCCTGGAAGGACTGTGCAGCTTGACATCATTCCCTCCCCACTTATAGGGACTGGGTTCCCCACATGCAAATTTCTCTTCAAGCTCGAGGGTAAAATCCACTCTCGGGCTGTGGGAGCTCACAGCTCTCTCCTCAGACAGGGCTGAGGTCTCCGAGGAAGGCAGAGCTGTGGTCTAGAAGAAGATGAGACTCTTGGGTCTTCTCCTTTGCGTGATGATGGCTCCCCAAGGTGAGTGTCTCAGATGTCAGACCTGGGTCTATGGGGATGGTTGTGACTGCACCTGACTGAGAGGGACTGATTCTCTTTGTCCTCAGGAGTCCTGTCCCAGGTGAAGCTGCAGAGTTGGGGCCCAGAACTTGTGAAGCCCTCGCAGACAATCTCCCTCACTTGTGCTGTCTATGGATCCTCCTTCACAAGCAGTGATTATGGTTGGAGCTGGACTCGCCAGCCCCTAAGGAAGGGGCTGGAGTGGATGGGACTTGTAAGCTATAGTGGTAGCACTTACTACAGCCCATCCCTCAAGAGCCGCATCTCCATCTCCAGAGACACGTCCAAGAACCAGTTCTCCCTGCAGCTGAGCTCCGTGACCACCGAGGACACGGCCGTGTATTACTGTGCAAGAGTGAAAGTTAGATATTATGATGCACACAGTGAGGGGAAGTAGGTGTGAGCCCAGACACGAACCTCCCTGCAGGGAGACAAGAGGGGCTGGGCTGGAAGGGGTGCTCAGGACCAGCAGGGGGCGCTCAGAACTCACAGAGCACAGAGACTACACCCAGGAGCAGGTGCAGAAGTGGATGGGGAAAGGCTTCCTGTGGGATCAGGGATTTTCCCTGCAAGCTCTCAGTTGCCCTCAGGGAGAAGTCATGTGTTTCTCTTCTGCCTGAAATATCTCATATCCTCAGTGAAGCCAACAAATGATGAAATAACATTGTTTGCTGATGAGATAGATCCAGTGACTAGGACCTTTCCTGCAAGTTCGTATAGGTGCTGAATTTCTGTCTTGAGAAAGATAACACACTGAGGATTCTCATTGTCCCTGATAAACAGCAGCACAGTCCAGGTGGTCTGCATGCTGAGCTCATGTTCTCTGCCCTCAGATGGGCACACACTGACTCCACATGTTATGGCCGTTACAGTAGGACATATGCCCCATAGAGTTATTTTTTCTCCCTGATAGAATTTAAACTCTCATTACCACTTGGGTGGACACTGATGATCAGGGATTGCTCCCTTCTGTGGCTGTCCCTCAGTGTTGTGGATGGAGAACCAGGCCCCCTATGGGGATGCAGCTCTCATTTTCCCCCATGAAACATGGAGGAAGACAAGCAAAAACTTAAAACCCATCCCAGCCGTGATGGGACGTGTCCTGGGTGAGTCGTTGAAAGTGTCCTTGGGGCCATGTCTCAGCTTCCACAGGAGAGTCCACATGGATGATGAGAACCAGCTGTACAGAGTCCTGATCCCTGTCCACTCTCTGCTCCCTCGAGTATCACAAAGAATCACACCCACCACCACCCTCTGTTTTCTATGTCTGAATTCTAACTAAATCTCTCCTACATCGTGATTCCTTTAGGCTGGAGCCCTAATCACTTCCCAGATCCACCTCCAAGAGCAGACACAGAGTAAGGCTCAATAATGCATCTCAACAATAATGGAATAGACTTAAAGTGGTACAGAAAGGTGAATCTGCAGCTTCAAATATGTTTCAGAAGAAAAATTAAAATCAAAAACAAATATGATGAGGGGCAGGCCCAGTGGCGCAGCGGTTAGGTTAGCATGTTCTGACTTGGCGGCCCAGGGTTCGCCGGTTTGGATCCTGGGGGCAGACATGGCACCACTTGGTGAACCATGCTGTGGCAGGTGTCTGACATATAAAGTAGAGGATGGTGGGCACGGATGTTAGCTCAGGGCCAGTCCTCCTCAGCAAAAAGAGGAGGTTTGGCGGCAGATGCTGGTTCATGGCTAATCTTCCTCGAAAAAAAAATAAATAAATAACAGTGATGAGGGACCCGCCCAGTGGCACAGCGGTTACGTTCTCACGTTGTGCTTCAATGTCCCAGGTTTTGCCGGTTCAGATCCCAGGTGCGGACCACTGCAGTGCTTGTCAAACCATTCTGTGGCAGGCGTCCCACGTATAAAAATTAGAGGAAGATGGGCACAGATGTTAGCTCAGGGACAGTCTTCTTCAGCAAAAAGAGGAAGATCGGTGGCAGATGTTAGCTCAGGGCTAATGTTCTTCAAAAAAAAAAGTAAAAAACACTCTATAAAATCAAAAGTGATGACACATAAGCATGACCCATGAAAGAAACATTGAGTCAGATTTGAAACTTAAAGCTTTTGCTCTGAGAAAGAAGCTGTCAAGAGGATGAAAAGATACATCATAGTCTGAGCTACAATTTCCTCTGTGCAAGTTTCCTCTGTTCTTCCAGTTTTCATTGGCTTTCACTAGTCCCTTATTATACTGATTTTTGTGTCTTTCTTCCTGCAGATTACTTAACACCGTGATGATGATTGTTGAGGTGGGTCTGGATTCATTTCTGCAGAATGTGCTGGTCTTCTCTCCCACACAGAACAATCTGGCAGAGCAGCTCTTTGTGATGTGTTCTCAGTCCTGGAGGAAAAGGCTTTAAAGGGAGTAGTTACTTCCCTAATTATGTGGCCCCCGAGAATATCACCCTACAGCACCTTCACTACACTCCGCTTCAAGAAATCCAGTAAGACGTTCTCATTTATTCTTGTTATAATTTATAAGCTATCTGGTGGTCTCTGCTCCAGTTAAGCTCCAATTCCCATACTGCTTCTTGTGGAAACAAATTGTTTCTCTCCAGATTTCATGTTTGTTGTTTGAGCTATAACTTCAACTATCTGATGTGTTGAAGAAGGTCACTAATTTGCAATTTTTTCAGTATAGTTGTTGTTGTAAGAAGAGGAGCAACCTTTTCCTCAGCTCGGTCCACCCTGCAGCCGAGCAGCAGTTATATTTGTAGAACCCACAGCCTGTACACAATCCATATGTCAGTCAGAAGCGTAACAGAGAGACACATTCTGGTCTAATCATTCATTGGAAAACCCCCAACATAGCAATGTATGATCTATGAGTGCTTGATACACACAAAAAATGGCTGCATTCCCAAGAAACAATGTTGAGAGAAAAAATTCAGAGAAATAAAACACATACTGTATGATCCGCTTATATATATTTTAGTGAATGAAAACTAAAGTAACACAGTGATCGGGAAGTGGTTCCCTATAAGTTGGATTAGAAGAAGGGGGAGGGAGGAACTACGGAGGAACATGGAGAGACTTTTAATGGTGACGGATCCCTTCACAACCTTGATTATAGTGATGGTTTCACACGGGTGCACGTGTCAATACTCATCAAGTTGTAGACTTGACATGGGTGCAGGTTGTTACATGTCAATTTACCTCCTTAAAATTACTGCAGATAGACAAATGGATAGTTAGTAAGGAAAGAGGGAGAGACTCACAGAAAATGACTCCAGAAATTAGAGACTCCCGGAAATACACATGCGTGAATCCTGGCTCTCTCTACGTTCTTTCAGTAACACTGGAATGCAGCAAAATCATGCCATGTTCTCATCGCAGAAAGGGGTTCTGAAAACCTCATCTGGCCTGTCCAGCTCTGCCATTGAGCTGATTCTGGCTGTACTCTGGTCCAGTGAGGAGCCTGGGCCACGAAACTGGGCTCAATCTCACCTGATGTGTGCTCTCAGACACATTACACAAACGCTCTATGGTTCCCTCTGTAGATGTTCATCTGTGAAATGGAGGCAAAATTGACAGCTACATCACAGGCTTTGTGTGTATGTGAAAATGAATATGATTATGGGTGCTAAGTGTTTGTCACAAAATAATCTCGTAATAAAATATCATATTTTCCAAAATATTCTCGTTAGCACCATAACGTCTCAGGACACTCACACTTACCCTGGGGAACTGGCCTCCTTTAAGGTGCCCAACCCCAGAGGTTGCTAAATAGTTAGAGGACGTGCAAATAGGGTCCTCCTTCTGCTGATGAAAAGCAGCCCAGCCCAGACCATGCAGCTCTGGGAGAGGAACCCCAGCCAGGGGATTCCCAGGTGTTCCCTTACGGTGGAGGGGACCGAACCCCAACAAGTCACCATGGATTTTCAGCTGAGCTGGGTTTTCCTTGGTGATATTTTAAAAGGTTATTTACGGAGTACAGCAGACATTGAGACTGTAGGAGGATATGAGTGAGAGAATCAGTGGGTGTGTAACAGTTTCCTGACAAGGATGTCTTTGTGTTTCCAGGTGTCCAGTGAGAGATGCAGCTGGTGGAGTTTTGGAGAGGCTTGGTGCAGCCTGTGGGGTCTCTGAGACGCTCCTCTGAAGCCTCTTGATTATTTTGATGACTATGCCATACACTGGGTCCACCAGGTTCCATGAAATTGACTGCAGTGGCACTCATCTATTAACTATAATGGTGATAGCATTTCTGGCTCAGACTTCATGAAGGGTCAATTCACCACGTCCATTGACAATGAAGGAACATGCTACATCCGCCAATGAACAGTCTGAGAGCCTAGGGCATGGCCCTGCATTATTGGGCAACAAACATGGTAAAGGAAAGTCAGTGTGAGCCCAGACGCAAACCTCAGCGCAGGGAGACAGGAGGGGCTGTGCTGCAGGGGGCACTCAGGACCAACAGTGTGTGCTCAGGACACCAGGGAGGCCACACTTCACCAATTATGTGCTTTGACCCCAGGAGCAGGGGAAGATGGAGATTAAGAGCTGGTTTACTCTCAGTGTCTGGGTCATTCTCTCTATATAGCAGTTTCCCTGGGGAAAGTTATCAATTTAATTCTTAGGCCAATCAGGAGAACCGAAAAGAGTAGAGGAATATTTCTTCCTCCCTTACGCAGGCCTTCGGCAGCCCCCGAATCTGCTGCTGCCTTCGGCTTGAACTTCCACATCTCCATAACTGTGAGAAATAAATTACTGTGCATAAGCTACTAGACTATACTATTTTGTAATTTTAGCTGAAATGGACTAAGATAGAAATTGGTACTGAAAAGCGGGGGCGCTGCTGTTAACAAATACCTAAAAACGTGAAAGTGGCTTAGGATCTGGGTAATGGGTGGAGGCTAGAAGAATTTTGAGATGTGTGCCAGAAATAAGGTTACATTACCATTAAGGGACCATTACGGATGATTCTGGTAAAAGCTCAGAGGGAAAAGGCAAGAGTGGTAGAGAATGCCTCAGTCTCCTTAGAGAGTGCCTTATCAGTCATGAACAGGATTTGTAGAAATATGGACGGAAAGACCACTCTGATGTGCTCTCAAATGGAAATAAGGAAAAGTGACAGTGGAAATCTGAGGAAAAGTGATCCTTGTTATAAAGTGACAAACAGCTTGATTGAATTCTGTTTGGGTCCTAGTGTCTTATAGATATTGGAACTTGTGGGAGACGAGATTTGATATTTGGCTGAGAAAATTTCTAAGAAAAGTGTTGAAAGATCAGCTCGGTTTCTCTTAAAGGCTTATAACAACATGATAGATGAGAGACATGACTTGAAGACATAATTGTTAATCAAGAAGGAATCAGAATTGAAAATTTGAAAAATTCTCCACCTATCCATACTGCAAGGAAGGAGAATTGTTCTGGAGAAAACAAGATGAAGGTGGCCAAATTTGATGGGGAAATTGGTATGGATGGCCCATCTCAACAGAACCTCGCAGCTATCCACCAGGACAATGGGGAGATTAGTCAGCCATCTGAAGGGAAGCCGGAACCTATTGTCCCTGGCAGTTGAAGAATGATCCCAAAAGTGTTTCCTCACATCATGGGCTTAGCTCTTCACACTCCATTTCAGTGCTTCTAGGTCAGCCCAGTTGTGGTAAAACTGATGGATTGTATTAGTTTTATAGAGATAACTGTATTTAGTTCCCAACATTTCGTAGGATGTCTTCATTTGTGTCTAATACACCCATAGCTGTGTTGTAGCTTTTTCTCGTGACTAAGTTACCAGTGTTTGGAGTCAAGCTATATTCCAACTTAGAGTGCCCCCTTCACCAGATCTCAGTGAATAGAGCAGCCATTATACCCCCAAATGAGGCGGTATGACAGCTGACTTCTTCTCAGCTTGTAGCATGTCTCTCTAAGACTGGAAGAGCTTGACCCCCCAGGAGGCGCCAAAAGGAGCAGAAACACAAAGGGCAGGTCACAACTTTGTCACAGTGTTCCCAGAAAGTTTTTCCAGACATAGTGAAGCCCACTTTCCACATGGCACAGGGAGCGGTGAGAGTTGAATCTTAGGGTGGCCTGACCATAGGCTCAATTTTGATTTTTAAACATTGATCATAGTTTTAAAATTTTCCTTTGAGTTGGATAGTTGCAGTCTCTGTGTAATATTGCAATATCATTCTCATAGTCGCCCATTATGGCATTTGACTTTCTTCTACCTGTAGCCCATAACTATGTTGGTTGCCTGATGTGTTGGATTGGACAGTTGAAATGGGCCTATCATTTTATTTTATGCATTTGTTCTTCCTGAAGTTGATCACACACTGTCTTTCTTGGATCTTTGTTATGGATGTCTGTGTGAATCTAGTCTTGGGCATATTTGAACCTTATATCTGCAGTGCCTACCAGAGGTAAATTGTGTTTCTTCTGTGGCCAACAGAGAACTCAGATTCCCCCAGTAATTCCTTGTTTGTATTCTCTGCCAGAATTTGCATCTTCACACTGTGCTCTCTACGTGAATCTATTTCCAGCGCTCTCAAGTACACTCCAGCACCATATTGGCTTGACCTTGTTAATGTGGTGCAAATGGCTGGATGAAAGGCATGATCTAGGACCATCTGACTGGGCCTTATTCCTGGGCAGGCGTCGTGACCCTGGGTCTCAGGCATGGCTTTGTCCCTGTTCTTATTCCTCCTCCTGAGATGATACTTCTCCTTGTATTCCTGTTCCCTCTCGGGTAGAAAGTATCTTTGTTTCTTTCCCAGGTGGTCCTTCCCACGGCAGCCATGATGTTGTAACTGTGTCCTTAACTTCTTTCCAGTTTTGCTGCTCTTTCCTTCATACGTATGCTTTTACTCCTTAGGGAAGAGGAGACGGGGCTCAGCATAGAGTTTTCGAAGTTTCATCTGTTCCTTGCCCAATTCCTATTAGTTTCCACTTGTGACTTAGGATACAGGTTTCGGTGGCTTTCTCCCTGCAGGGTAGTTACTTAGTACAGTAGTGGTGATTGGTGAGGTGGGTCTGGCTGCATTTCAGCAGCAGGTGCTGTTCCTCTCTCCCAGACAGCACAATCTTGGGGGAGGAGCTCTTTGGGATGGGTCTTCAATCCTGGAGGAAAAGACTTTAAAGGGTATAGAGATCTCCCTAATTATGTGGCCTCTGAGAATATCATACTATAGCACCTACTCCACGTTCCACTTCAAGAAATCTATTAAGAATTTCTCATTTACGCTTGTACTAGTTTATAGGCAATCTGGTGTTATTTGTCCCAGTGAAGCTGTTATTTACATACTGATTCTCCTGGAACCACTTGTCTCTCTCCAGATTTCAAGTTTATTGTTCGCACTATAAATTCAATTATCTAATTCATTGAAGAAGGTCACTAATTTGCAGTTTATTCAGGATA